ATATATATAATGGATGAAGAGGTAGGTAATGGAATCATGGAGTTTACATTTCCCCATCTTTCCTCCCACTCGACATCTTCCCCACTCCCCTTCTTCCCCCTTCTTGGGGATTGGAGTGACCGAGCCTCAGGGGCGACCTCACCAGGTGAAGGGAGGAGGAGGGGAAGGAGGAGGGGAAGGGAGGTGGGGAAGAGAAGAAGATTAACGAACCTAGAGAGGGGCGTGGGCACCAAACCCCCCTCCCCGTGTCCCCACGGGGAGGGGGAAGGAGGGGGTGAAGTGAGTGGTCGAGACAGCTGCTCTGCAGGTGGCGGCCTAGCGTACGAGTGTTGGGGAATGATGGGGAGTGGGGAATGATGGAGAGATGTGTATAAGAGACAGCAACAGCAGCNGCCCTGACTCACTGCAGCGAGTCACCCTGACTCACTGCAGTGGGTCGCCCTGACTCACTGCAGTGGGTCGCCCTGACTCACTGCAGCGAGTCACCCTGACTCACTGCAGTGGGTCGCCCTGACTCACTGCAGCGAGTCACCCTGACTCACTGCAGTGGGTCGCCCTGACTCACTGCAGTGGGTCGCCCTGACTCACTGCAGCGAGTCACCCTGACTCACTGCAGTGGGTCGCCCTGACTCACTGCAGCGAGTCACCCTGACTCACTGCAGTGGGTCGCCCTGACTCACTGCAGTGGGTCGCCCTGACTCACTGCAGCGAGTCACCCTGACTCACTGCAGTGGGTCGCCCTGACTCACTGCAGCGAGTCACCCTGACTCACTGCAGTGGGTCGCCCTGACTCACTGCAGTGGGTCGCCCTGACTCACTGCAGCGAGTCACCCTGACTCACTGCAGTGGGTCGCCCTGACTCACTGCAGCGAGTCACCCTGACTCACTGCAGCGAGTCACCCTGACTCCTGTCTCTTATACACATCTAGATGTGTATAAGAGACAGTACTTCCCCAGGGGGAGGAGCTCAAGCGCTGGCCGCGCAGCCCCTAATTGCAGCACAGCCACATGCCACGCGCCACAGCCACATGCCACGCGCCACAGCCACATGCCACGCGCCACAGCCACATGCCAAAGCCACAGCCACATGCCAAAGCCACAGCAACATGCCAATGCCACATGCCACAGCAACATGCCACGGCATATAGCGTGCGAGGGAAATACGAGGGTCTGTCTCGACCCTCGCAGGATGTGACCCTAAGAGGGGCGCCATTAACCTAATTGGGCGGCGATTGGACGGCAGAGGGGCGGTAGGGAAGGGGCCTCGTCTCCTAAACGAGGGGCGCCGCCCCACGGGGCCCTCCTGAACGATTAGATCTTCTTCCCAGCGTCAGCCACGGGCGCCGTCCCTTCGGTGGCCGCCTTAATTCCGCCCATAATTACCAGCGACACGATCTTCGATGGCCGCCAATAATGCGCCCATAACTGGCCCGGATGCGGCAGCCGTTGATGGTATTTTTTATTGATGGAATTTTTTATTGATAAAATTTTTCGCTGATGAAATTTTTCGTTTATGTAATTTTTCGCTGATGTAATTTTTCGTTTATGTAATTTTTCGCTGATGTAATTTTTCATTTGATGACATTTTTGCTGATGTAATTTTTCGTTTATGTAATTTTTTGCTGATGTAATTTTTCGTTAACATTTTTCATTGATGTAATTTTTCGTTAACGGAATTTTTCGTTTCGAACACTCAGAAAAACCGGTGAGACTCGTCTTAAGAGTGATTACATTTTTAAGCTTGTGTGAGTTACACTGACCCAGTTTGGCCGGGCAAAAGGCCGTACTATGTCATATTTCGGACAATTTGCCGTTTTTATTTTTGTGAGTGTAACGCAGAGCCTCGCAGGCACAGGTGGCCGCGGTGGTCATTATAGTGCACTTGAGGGGAGACCTTCCCCTCAGTTGGGGACAACTGGCCTCTTCCCCTCACCCCTCAGTTAGGGACAACTGGCCTCTTCCCCTCACCCCTCAGTTGGGGACAACTGGCCTCTTCCCCTCACCCCTCAGTTGAGGACAACTGGCCTCTTCCCCTCACCCCTCAGTTGAGGACAACTGGCCTCTTCCC